AACAACTATAGATTAGGTCTATTTCACATATTATGTGATCTTTTCTACCAGCTAGACATTGACCAAACCTGCGGGCATCGATCATTCCCGGATTATCCGCATACCCGTTTACGGCTGGGTCTGGGTGAATTATGGGTGAAGATGAGTTATTCAAGGTCACAGGACTTTCACACGTCGATCGAGATGGGAAACCACAGACCCCATTTGTTCGACGTAAGCAAGCAATGACGTCATGTTAAAACCAGCGCTCTAATCGATTGTGCTTTATGGGAGTGAATATTACTTCAGCTGATATTGTTAAAGTTACTAATAATAATCAACTTTATCCCTTTAAAAAATGAAATGTGCCGATTGATATCGTCCGGGGTATAAAAGTTTATTGGGTAACATATAAGTAAACCAGTAGAATAAACTGGGAATATACCAATTTATAAGGTAAACATGTAAGTTAAAATATTGTTACAATTGCTGTAATGAACAGTTGTAAATAAAGTTGATGTTGATGAAAAAAATTAAATTCGGACATCGAAAAATTGGTAACCGAATAAAATTCACGAAACAATGAATACACATACTACCAACTTGCATGGAAAACCAAAAGATATACTTATCTAAACACTAATACATCTATTAACAGAAACAGATATATTTCTGAACACAGGAAAATGTATGTTTATGTTAAGCACACTCTCTTTAAGCTCAAGGATAATTACATATCTAGAAACCATCTCAACACAGTTCGTGATTATAGTGGCATTTCGTTTTTAACACCATGCCCAGAACGCGCTCTCTTTATAGCCACAATATGTAAAGCATTGCTTACTTATCTGGTCGAACTTGAAATAAACAATGATAAAATACTTCAAAGAACTGTGTGATACGTTATCGCTTTAAGTTGCTATTTTCGAGATTTAGTGTTGCAGACTGATAGTCAATTTAATCAACAAATCCAGTCCCTCTTTGTATGTACACAGCAGCGACGAAAGATTGCCTGGAAAAGTTGCTTAAAATTTTTATAATTAATCGAGTCTACAGCGGCTTGACAACATTAATTAAACAAATTTAAAAACTTGTGGGGGTTGTCGTTTTGTTTTTGTTTTAAACGAGTTGTTTTAGAGCGTAGACTGAATATGCCAAATTCTAGACTCCCTTAACGGAACTTGAAGCGTTTTTACACAAAATTCATCGGTAAGTCCTAGGTTATATCCTCTTCAGAGACAAAATAAGTCTGGAGGTAAGTCTAAATTGTAAGTGTTGGTATTTTGATCAACATGTACAGACTTTATACTTAAAAATGAATTAGATGGCTCGTATTTATGTTTTGATCGGAACCAGATAAGCAGAAATACATTTGCTCGACTCTAAGGAAGTTGTGGTATTCAATCAAAATATAAAGCTTTAAGATTAAGATTAAGATTATTGACTTCATTACTGCTCTACTGCGAGTATTCAATGGCGCCTTACAAACACAACTATTTCTATATTATAGTCAATGTCTATACAGACAGTTAAGTTATATGGTGTTGAGACGCTCTGAATGTGGTATAAGGGAGTTAATTTTTATATTAATGTTGTCTGTAGCTTAGTAAGTACTGTATTTTGTCTATTTAGTGCACATGATAAAACTGTTCCGACATTGAAATAACATATTGGTAGTTTGAATTTTGAGGCTTTTGTTACATTATCCTAAACTCAGTGCAACGACCAACTTGCTGAAATGATACTGTGAACTCAAGTTGTTATCCTTGTAAAATATAGATTTTTTCGGTCTTCTTTTCTTTCTTTTTCCACGATCTGGGATCTTTATCAAATCCGCTATTATCGACTTTCTGTACAGAGCAAAGTTCCAAATAGACCGAAACATCTGTCTCTATTCCAGCATCTGATAGCTATTTGGACAGATGTCGGCTGGTGTAGAGACAGAAAAATAGCCCTGTTAAATTGAGAAACACCATATCTCCGCAGGTGTGGGGGTTTTAAACCTATTTAGATACCTCGGATCTGCAAAACCCAGATAATTATGTTTGGAAAGATATGAATAATTTTGTAGTTTTGTCATATCACCAGTTTCTCCCTTCACCATTTATGTCACGTCTCCGGTTCCATCAATTTATTCTTAACGAAACTGATCTCGCTTCGGCCATTTAAACCTGCGTGTGAGTGCGAATCAAACCCTCTTTTCCCCGGAAGCTAATTTACAGTCTTCGTAAAGGTAATTTGATATTATGTTAGAAAAAACGCATCTTCGAAGGTGTGACAATTCTCCATTTAACAGGGCCTATTTTTTCTGGCTCTACTTTAGCTGACAACTGTCAAAATATTCATTAGAGACAAATGTTTCGGACTAAGCTCCATAGTGAATAAAAATATAACATTTCCAAACGAACTTCAGGAAATGTCAATATATAGGTAGAACAATGTCAGATTTCCATTGATCTTTTATATTTTTATTTAAAAGATGCATAAATTACAATACAAAAATGCTAATTTGTTTTCCATTTACAAAAATACCTGACAGAAGCAAACATTATGGAACCCCGCCTCCTGATACATGAAGTCTCACTCAGTTAGTTTAAAGTGATGTCAGTATACGCTGATGCATAAACACCCAGTCAGTTTAACGTGATGTCAGTATACCATGATGCATAAACACTCAGTCATTTTATAGTGATGTCAGTATACCATGATACATAAACATTCATTCATATAGTGACGACAATGCACAGTGAAACATAAACACTCAGTCAGTTTAACATGATGTCAGTATACTCTGATACATAAACACTCAGTCAATTTATAGTGATGTCAATATACCATGATGCATAAACACTCAGTCATTTTATAGTGATGTCAGTATACCATGATACATAAACATTCATTCATATAGTGACGACAATGCACAGTGAAACATAAACACTCAGTCAGTTTAACATGATGTCAGTATACTCTGATACATAAACACTCAGTCAATTTATAGTGATGTCAGTATACTCTGATACATAAACACACATTCAATTTATAGTGGAGTCTGTATACTCTGATACATAAACACTCAGTCAATTTATAGTGAGGTCAGTATACTCTGATACATAAACTCTTATTCAATTTATATGATACATCAATAGAAGACAATTTCAGTACACCACCCTACATAACACTCAGTCAATATATTGCGATGTCATTATACACGATCATAACGCTTAGTCAATTTATAATGATAACTAAGTCATTATATAGTGATATCAGTATTATGCTTATTTATACATAAACACTCGAACCTTTTTAATGATGTCGGTATACCCTGATACATAATCACTCAGTCATAATTTTATAGTGATGTCATTATACCCTAGTAAACATTCAGTCAATTTACATATTAAACACTCAGTCATTTTATAGTGTTGTCAGTATACCCTGATACATAAATACTCAGGTTATAATGATGTCAGTTAATGCTGGCATGATATTTCGGTGAATCGATGTAACGCGATACGACATGCCACGATACGGGAGTCGGAGGTCAGAATGTCAGAAAGTTAGAATTTCGAAGTTGTCACCAAAACCACAAACAGTGACATAACGGACGAAAATAGTTAGAACTTACACAACGTCCATCAGTTCCGTATTTATTTAGTCGTGTTATACTTTCCACTGTTGCATAATACTCTCCTTGACTATATTTCACTGTAGCTTCAAACACACCACCTCCAGGGGTCGTTGCAAACACTATGTTTATGAAATAAATGTCATCACTTCGTTTATTAGATCTCAGCATAGCTTGGAAGTGATCTTTTGTGATGCCCACCTTTGTGGTATACACGTAAGCGCTTTGAATGGAAGAAAGATGTAACTTTGAGCATTGTGGAAAATCTTTAAGTATGACTTCACTAATCTGCTGTACCACATATTCTCCTGCATTTTGTATAAAGGGACCTTTTATACCAGAAGTCAAAACACTTTTCTTGCAAACACACCAATGAGGAATAATGCCAGCTTCATCACATATTCGAGTTACTGGAATTTCATCAAATAGACTCAGTCCACGTTTTTTCGAATTCGAATCGCTTCTAGAAATGCCTTTAATATTGTCTCGGATTTCCATAATAGTCGCGTGAACATCGAACGGAGCCGTTAATCGCTTTCTATTCGTTAATAGATTTATGTACTTATTCGGATATTTCGAAGGAAACCATTTAGGAAACACAAAGTACATCATCGGCATACGAGTCTGAATTTGGCCGTAATCCGTGTTCAAAACCGGACCTCCGCGAAAACCATGATCTGCAAATAAAACCAAAACAGTGTTGTTTAAAAATCCATTGCGATGGACACGTACTAAATTGTTATAGTGATATTCATCAGCTGTGGAAAGTGACGATAAACCATCATGAGTTAGTCTCGAATTAAAAGTATATGAAAATTTAGGTACGTCTGGATATTTTTTCCAAAATTCGAATGTATAGTCTAATATAATGTTTGTTTCTGGTCGGTTCACAACGCAATAATAGTTGTTCCAGACAGACAAATCTTGGTTCATTGCTAATGTAAACGGACGGAGATAGAAATCGGTTGGTTTTTCGACAAATCCAGTGCCTTCAGGGTTAAAAGTACCAAATTCTGCTTGATCCTCTCCATATAAGGTGATGTAATCTTTCTGGTTAAAACTCTTAAACAGCGTGTTAAACCCATCATAATAATCCTTATACGTTATATTTAATCGGTCGTATTCCTCGGCAGAAAATTTTCCGGTAAGTAATGCAACAGCGTTTGGAAATGAATTATCTGCAATTTTCGTATATCCTTCTAATTCTACCGCTTTTAGCGTATTTAACAGAAACGATCGCGTTTTAGGCATTTTTGCTATAAGATTCAGTCTGGCCACAGAGTCAACGCCGATCATCATAACGTTTAAATGATCCGGTTTAGATTTTTTCCCGGCTCTGTTATTAGTATCTCTATAACGTTGTATTTTATCTGATGTAGTTCTATTCGGAATGATAAAGGCATGGTAATTTCTAAATATAGTCACATGTTGAGTATCATAACATACGACACGTACAAATTCATCAGTCATGTCTACATCACGTTGAAAAATAACAGGTTCTAAAAAGATAATATTGTGGTCGTCTGCTAAACGTTTGATTGGTTCGTACGTACAGTGGGAAAAATTTGGTATATCGATCAACACGCTTCGGTTTATCTTTAATATTTGATTGTCTTGATAGGTTATAGGAATGGTATCTCTGCACTGTACAATATTGTGGCTCGTGTCAAAAAATTCGGATAAGTCAGGATGAAAAGGGTTAAAATAAGGTATCTGACACCCAATAGTATCTATTAATAATTCCGATGTCTCCATTTTCTTGTGTATT